AACAAGAATAGGATGTCTCCACTGTTATTCAACATAGTCCTGGAACTTTAGCTGGAAAAAGAGAGAGAAATAAAAGAAAGATAGAAAAGAAAGAAGTTAAACTATTGTTATTTGCAGATGACATGACACTCTACCTAGAAGACCCCCAAAACCTCACAAAAGACTACTAGAGTTAACAAGCAAATTCAGTAAGGTAGTTGGTTACAAAGTCAACACTCAAATCAACAGCCTTTCTGTACATGAATGATAAATTCACTGAGAGGGAAATCAGGGAGACAGTACTTTTCACAATAGCATCCAGAAAAATGAAATAGCTAAGACTCAATCTAATGAAGGAGGTAAAAGACCTCTACGGCTAAAAACTACAGAACTCTGAAAAAGGAGACTGAAGAGGATATTAGAAAATGGAGAGAGATCTCATGCTCTTGGGTAGGAAGCACCAATAGAGTGAAAATGGCCATACCACAGATTCAATGCAATCCCTATCAGAATTCCAATAGCATATCGCACAGAATTAGAGAATACAACCCTAAAATTCATCTGGAACCAGAAGAGAACTAGAATAGCAAAGGCAAACTTGGGCAACAAAGACAAGATTGGGCATCACAATTCCTGACTTGAAACTATACTATAAAGCTACTGTGATAAAAATAGCAAGGAACTGGCAAAAAAACAAACCTGAAGACCAACGGAACAGATTAGAAGATGCAGAAACAACTCCAGACACACTAAGCCACTTTGTCTTTGACAAAGGTGCCAAACACATCGCTGGAAGAAAAATAGCCTCTTTAATAAATGGAGCTGGAAAAACTGGCTCTGCACATGCCAAAGATTAAAACTGGACCCTTTTGTTTCACCATGTTTAAGCTAAAGTCATAATAGATCAAAGATCTTAATATTAAAACAGAAACATTAAATCTGCTGGAAGATAGAGTAGGAAAAACTCTTGAAGACACTGGTACAGGCAAAGACTTTATGAACAAAACCCTGACTGCACAGGAACTATTGCAAAGAATCAACAACTGGGACTTTACACTATTAAAAAACCTTTGCGCAAGAAGAGAAACCACCAAGAAAGTAAAGAGACAACCCACAGTGTGGGAGATGTTTGCCAGCTGTTCCTCAGACAAAGGGCACTACCAGAACATACAGAGAACTCAAAAAAAAGTCCTCCCAGATTTAAAGACCCAACTCAAAAATGCGCATCTGAGATGAACATGTACTTCTCAGATGAAGAAATACAAACAGTAACTAAATATGTGAAAAAATATTCAACATCACTGGTCATTCAAGAGATACAAATTAAAACAACACTTAGATTCCACCTCACCCCAGAAAAAAAAGGCTATCACCAAGAAATCAAACAATAACAAATGCTGGAGGGGCTGTGGGGAAAAAGGAACCCTTCTCCACTGCTGGTGGGAGTGCACCCTGGTGCAACCAGTGTGGAAATCAGTGTGGAGATTCCTCAAAAAACAACAACCAAAAAAAAAAAAAAACCAGGATTGGAGGACCATTCCACCCAGTTATTCCTCTGAGTATTCCCCCCCCAAAAAAACATCAGACCACAGTGATATATGTGCACCCATGTTTATAGCAGCACAGTTTATAATAGCCAGATCTTGGAAACAACCTAAATGCCCATTGACTAAAAAATGGATTAAAAAGAAGTGGTATTTTTATACAATGGAGTACTACTCAGCCACAAAGAAGGATAAACTAGAGACTTTAATAGGTAAATGGATGCACCTTGAGACCATAATTCATTAGTGTAATAAATCAGACACGTGAAAGCATCATATTATTTCATTAGTGTGAGAAGGTGAAAGAAAAACCATACATATATGTATATGTATATGTATATGTTAAGATCGTTACACTACTGATTTCTCTGAGTCTGCTGAAGCGGAAGGTTTGTGCTGGTGGTGTGTGGACAACTGAAGGCAGATGTTTGGGTGAATGATTTGGGGGTGACAATGTGCATTGTTGCCCCCTGACTGATGTGTTTGGAAATTTTGTTGTAGTTTTTCTTCTTCTCCTCCCCCGCCCCTTCTTCTTTTCTTTCTTTTTATCATTGAAATAAAATGGATTTGGAAAAATATGAGGTCCTGACTTCCTGGGGGTGGGGGGAGAAAAGGAGAGGAGGACAGAAGCAGCCTAGAGACCCACAAACCCAGCAGTCCGCTCACACCCGGTCGGGGTGGTGGGCTGTCTGGAAGGTGGCTCTGGTAGGCCAGGCTCTTGGCCTAGAGTGGCCCTGTCCCAGGGAGGGGTAGCAGAGCCGAGGGGGTGGGCACAGCCAGCCTGCCCCACCCCGGCACACTTATCCCATGGTCCTCCTGCTTGCTGCAGCTGCCCTGGGCCCCCTCTACCGAGGGCCTTTCCCGAGGTGGCCTCAGCGATGGGTGAGCGCTGGCCCAGGCTGTCCACCCCGCCCTCCTCCGCCTGCTCACTGGGCCTGGCACCATGTGGCTCCGGCTCCTCCCTAAGGTCAAAATGACCAGGAAAGGGAGACTTTAAATCAGTTCAGGACATCAAGGCAGCCACTCAGCCCGCTGAAGACCTCAGGAAAGGGGCTCAGAAAGCGGGGAGTACTGTGGGGAGTGGGGAGCTGGAGGCAGGGGTGGGAAGGAACGTGACAGGCAGTGTGTCTCTTACTGTAACAAACTTCTTAAAAACCACGAAACGTTCACCACACGTCATCGCACCTGTGCATCTCTGGGTGTGGTGTGGCTGGGCGTGGACCCTGCTGCATGGGTGGCTTTGTGCCCTGGGGCCCTGCGTGTGTCTGATGCAGGCTCTGAAATCCTCAGGGGTTACAAAGCCATGAGTGACACAGATGTCAATCAGGTCAGTGATTTCTCCTGGTAAAAAACAAAGACAAAAACCCAGGTTCTGTTGGAGCCGCAAGAGTTCCTCGACTGTGTCCACAGTGGGAAGAGATGCCATCTGGTACAGTCACAGGAGTGGCAGGGAGGCCACCTCCCCACCCAGGTGACAGTCTGTCCCCCACCCTCTCCCCCTTCACTGGTGAGGAACAAAGTTCACTGCCAGCCTGGGTCTTGTTCTTAGAAGCACAGAAGCCTGGCAACGTGGCAGGAAAGACAGCAGGTGCACTCCCTGCACAAAGTCCCTTTGGGACAGCCCCAGAACACCCAGGCAGGTCACTTTGGGTCGGCTGAATGGTGACCAGGTCGGAGGCAATGGCAGGTGGCACAGTGGCACCCCCACCCGAGCCCCATGAGGACTAAAGAGCCCTTAACACCAAATGGTCACTCAGTGTTTTTCCCTTGTTTTCTCCACGGTGTAACTAAAGCACCAAATCATCCAATGACAAAACCAAAGCTCTGGTTGTGTTTATGGTGATGCTTTGGAGGAATATTTAAGATCTTACAGAAATAATGTTTGGTTTCCCTCCTCTACTGCTGTGTCAAAGTAAATTAAAATACAGCAAACCGTGGATCCTCTAGCAGACAGAGCCGGCCAAGCCACAATCGAGGTCTCACTTGATTTGCAAACATAAGTGAAACTGAACTCTGGCTGTTTCTTATCAGAAAGCCCCACTGAAGTGAAACGAAAGTTAAACACAATGGCAGGAAGCCATGGCTGTCTCCCATGACCAGTGATTTGTAGCAGGACAATAAATAAGGCCTCTGAAACTCTGCCCAGTCACAGCGCCCTTTCCTCTCTCCCATTCGTCCACCCGACCATCTTCAGTTTGGTGCAGCCTGGTTTACAGGTTGCTGTTTGTTCCAATGAACATTTTACAGCTTTGCTGAGATTCGGTTTCCCTTTAATACCAGGCCAGAAAGATGCCTACACTGGGCAGGAGGACGAGGTTGCCCAGAAGGGAAATGAGTGTTTATCTTAGATCCTGGTCCAGCTCCCACCCACAGGAAGGGCCCTCCTGAGCGCCCTGGGTGGTCGAGTGCCCAGCGGGGCAGGGAGGCTGGGTCAGGCCCAGCCAGCACCATGGGGAGACGCTGCATCGGCTAGGATGGCAGTCTGCCTGCTCTGCCTGCTGGGACTCAAGACAGTGAATACACAGAGACTGAAGAGTTGGGGCCGAAGTCTCACAGGGAACAGCTGCCCCATGGAAGTTCACACGTGATGTGCAAACTCTGAGGGACCACGGACAAGGGAGGCACCCAGGCTGTCGGATGCAGGCCCAGAGCAGCTAGGAAAATGCTCCCTTGGAAGGAAGGCAGCAGGAGAAGCAGTGGCACCGCTGGATGGGCTCACCCAACAGCAGCGATCTTTCTAGAAGAGTCCCCACCGCTTCCTCCTGCACCTGGGCCCAACCTGTGCTCCACGTGGCTCCTTGGCCATTTTTCCAAGATCCAAGAATGGGGACATAACTCTGGGAGCATCAGGAAAATGGGCCACAATTCCTGACTTACTCTGAATGTGCAAAGTTTCCCTGATGCCCATGCTTCATTCTGAAAATGTGTGTTGATTCCATTTCACTCCACTTAAATGTCTACAGTTACGTACAGAAATGTTTCTGCATTGCACAAATAAAGTCATTCCTGTAAGGCCAGCCCTGGCCTGGGCCCTTGACCCACCCGAGTCCTTACTGTGGAATCCCAGGCTTGGGGAGTGGGACCTTGAGTTATGTATAGTAACAAGAAGGTGTATGACAGGGTTTTGGCCCAGACAGGACACTGTAGCAGGTGAAGCCTTAGAGGCGGAACCAAGGAGTTAATATCTCCCCCACCCCTAGGAATTTACCTGTGATTCCAACTTCCCCGCCCCCTAGGAATTTACCTATGGTGCCAAACCAGGACCAATGGGCTACCGGTGCATCCCTAATGCCCCCTTAGATTCCACCCCAAACCAAGGCTACTTACATACCCCCCATGCCACACATCCGCCAGAGAGAAAGCTGGACTCCAGCGGTCCAGGGTTTTGGTTTTCTCTCTCTGTGTTCTCAGAATAAAGGCCTCTTTTGTTTTATATGATAACTCGGACCCCGGAATAAAACCCAAGGAAGCAAGAAATTAAAATTTGGGGAGCAAAGGCTTTATTTTAGGCCAGGCCTGGTGACACAGCCTCCAGGAGCCAATTTGGAAACTGCGCACCTGACAGCTAAAAGTCAGGGCTTTTATCTTGTAAATCCACAAACAGCTGCTGGTCACACAATGTAAAGAAGGGGATGGGGTGTGGCACACTACAAAACAGAAACAGGGCTATTACATGTCTTGGGAAGAGCAGGATCAGGTAAAGGTTGTGCTAACAAGCAAGTCTCCCTGCATACAAGCAAGTTTAGATAAGAAGAAATCCTGTTTTCCTCAGCAAAGAATAGAGAAGTCTAACAGCAATTAACAACCTTAGTTACCTTATTTTAGCACCACATCTGTTATTTGTAGAGGGCAGCAATGGTTAACATATCAACTAGGTAAGATTTTACAATTCTTTACAGAGGAGAGCATTGATTAACATGTCAATTAGGTCACCCAGAGGGGGAAGGGAAAACACATATACAGTAAGGCCAAGTTACAGGTATTTTGGTATGATACAAATATAACGAAGCCATTTTTCTAGAGTACAACATTTTATACTTCTCATCCTTTGGATGTAATCTTATCAGTGTAGGCACGCACAAGTTCTTGATAAATGCTTTGCTGTTTCTGTTAAAAAACCTCTATTCCCCCTAAGTACCTGTGAAGTATGATAAAAACTGTGAGGAACGTGTAGGTGTCCAAAAGCTTGTCACAGCTGGGGTGAGGGTGCCACAATCGACCTCACCACGCCTGTCCTTGCTTCCCACACATGTGTCCCCTTGGCCCCGAGGAGCCAGGGCTGGATCAGTGAAGGAGATGCACTGGAACGGTTTTATGAGCCTGACTCTCCAGCGGGTGGCACTGGGCAGCAGGGTGGCCCGTGCCCTTTATTAGGCTCCTGCAGACTCCAGGGTCGGCTGGAGCGGCAAGCCGGCAGGAGGAGCATCTCGAGGGGCTTAAAGGCAATGTGTTTTTTGACGTAATAATTGTTTTCAATTTAAGCATTCACTGTACGCTTCAATCACACCACCTGCCTGCCTGCCTGCCTGCCTGGCCATCTGCCTGTCTGCCTCCCTGCCTGTCTGTATCTGTTGCCATAACAAAGCACCTTCGCCTGCCTGCTCCCTGAGATAGAGCCCGTCTTTTCCAGGTCTGGGTGTGGAGCCCTGGCTCCAGCAGGCGGGATCTGCTACCCCTTTCTTCCTGACACCCTCAGAGGTCAGGGTGCTCCGGGGCCTTCTCACAGCATGTTAGCACCATCCTGGAACCCAACTCCTCAAGCACCCCTGTTACCATTGAAAAGATTTTGCCCCAGAAAGGACAAGAGGCTCTATTTTGAGGTCACCTTTCCCGCCCCTAGGCAATTTACCTATGGCTTGAAATGAATACCAATGGGCTACCTGTGCATCACTAATGCCCCTTAGGCACCACCCCAAACCTAAACTATACGTATGCCCCCACACCACGTGTGTGGTAGAGAGAATGCCAGACCCCACAGAGTCATGGAGTCTCTCTCCACATTCTTAAAATAAAGGCCACTTTTATTTCATACTTATCTTTTTAGCCGCGCCGAAAATTCTATCAACCATGTCAGCCTGCCTCTGTAGGGGACAGGCCCCACTCGCACCCCAGATCAGCTGGCTCCCCAACAGGGAAGTGAGGGCTCTGCGCCAGGCTGGGAGCCTTGGGCAGTGAGGTAACACGCACACACTTAGGGTTTACTGCTAAGAAATCAGGACCGGTGAGCCAGATATGAATGAAAATGTTGCCAACGGGTGGCCGCAGCGTGGGCTCTGGGGAGGAGGAAAGAAGAACCAGAGAGCTGCTTCTCTAAGTGCATCTTTTTAAAATACTCGGGACCTGTGAGCTGTGAAAATGCCGTATATATTCTAAAAATACAGTTAAATGCAAGAGATAAAAACGAACTGTATAGCTGGATGTGGTGCCGCATACCTGTGATCCCAGCACTCGTGACGTGGAGGCGGGAGAATCACCACAAGCTCGAGACCAGCCTGGGCTGTGTATGAGACCCTGCCTCAAAAGCAAACAACAACAACAAAAACATGCTGCCAAACAACAAACAAAGCATATTAGAGAACAATCACCCAGAGGAAAGTGTTATTTCAAACAGTGTTTATTTAATATAGTATTCTGATTATAGTGGAATATATTCTAAGAATACAAGGAAATCTTGTACGACTCTCAGTGGTGTCTTGGTACTAATAATAACAGCGCTTTAGAATTACTTTGTGTACCTTATAAAGTAAAGAAAATAAGTAAGTATACTACTGTTTTAGGAACAAGATGTCAGTGTAAGAGAAAACAAAATTAGCATGACGTGACGTGAGCTGAGAAGAACTCTTTGGATTTACAATGTGAAAATGAACTTAATTTTAGGAATGTATTAGTCAAGGCACACACAGGCTTCATTCATTTTAGGAGTCGGGGGAAGGCAGCTGCCTTTGTGTGTGTGAGGGGAAGATGGCTGTGGTCATGTCTGTCGCTCAGTGTGAAGTTTGTGAATTTTGCCAAATGCTCTTTTGTGAAGCAAACAGCTTGCAGACAGGCGCGTTCATGAACCGAGGCAGAGCCGTGACTCAGTGGCAGAGCCCTGAAAAAGCCTCGAGACCAGGCCTTGCACTTAGGCTTTACTGCAACGTGCAGGAAGGGGCTCGGGCCCTTTGCAGGTCCAGGACCCGTCTCAGTCCCAGCCCAGCTACTCTGTGTCGTCATCTCCTCCTCCCTGCTGCCCCCCAGCTCAGGTCCTTTGTATCTGATGAGAAGCAGCCCTTCTGTGGGGTTCACAGCCCGCCAGCCCTGCAGGCCTCCATCTTCATTCCCAGGCTGAAGCTCGGCCTGAGACCCTGGCTTCAGGTTGCTACCAGGCATCCAGTATTAGAAGAATAGAAGCAAAAAATCATTAAATCTGTGAAATGCTATACACCAAGCAGAAGTTTTAGCTCCTCGGAGGGGCAGAGAGGAGGGCAAGAGGGGAACCGCAGGATGAGGAGGAGAGAGGCACACAAGACGGGGTGGAGACCAGTCCTCGACCTGTGAGTTGCATGCTGCGCTCTGGCATCCCTGCTCGGGACGGGCCATTCAGTAACATCACTCTGATAGCCCAGAGTCACCCGCAGTAAGTGTATTTCTACCACATGCAGTGGCACAGGCTGACATCGCCGCCTTCCTCAGGGAGCCTGGGACCCCATGGGGCTGGGGCTCCTTGGGCTCTGTGCAGGAGAGAGCGGACAGACAGCCGGTCATCTCTTCTGTCTCATCTGCTCTAGAAATTTCTCTCACTGAGGTGCACATGTGTGGGGAGCCTAGGTCATGATCCACACTGCTCCATAAGTGTGACTGAAAACCATAGTGAACACTTACATTTTAAAATTTCTTACAGTAAATAACGCATTGCCACAAATCCCCCTGAAAATCCTCCCCTTGCTTCAAACATTCTTATCCCATTGCTCCTGCCGCTTTCTGAGGCAGCTCTGGACTGCTCCACAGATTAAAGCCGGTTACCTTACATGGTCATTCTGACTCGGGAAGAGCCAGAAGCCAGCACAAGAGCCAGATCAAGAGGATGCGGGTACAGCATCATGTTTTATGAACCCACCTTCCCAGCACTGGGAGAAAGCTTCTACCATCTATTTTTTTTTTTTTATTACAACTCGTAAAGACATCCACAAAAGAAGGCTTCTAGAACTGCTTCAGAAGGCAGCCGCAGTGAGGGGCTAAGTGTGTTCAAAATAAGTGGGAGTATTTCAAGGAGGGGTTCACGGTGAGTGTATTTTTACTGTAATAAATTTTAAAAATGTAAACAAAAATCACTGTGTATTTTGATCAGACCTTGTAAAAAGTGTCCCCTGGGCATCCTAGGGCTGACAGTGCTCGACCCAGCTGTGCAGTCTGCCCTTGGAAAGAGGGAGCCAGGATGGAGGCTGCTCGATCAAGGCTGTAAATTCAGGCAGATAAACATGGGGTCTCAGGACCAGAGCATGGTGGAGAACAAAGAGGTGGGGATGGATTGTAATCCCAATGTAGAATACAGGAATCCAAGTATCATAATCCTTTTTCTAGTCTTCTTCACAATCCAAAAAGTTTTATTTGCAATCCACTGAGGCATTATTACAACCCGGAAAGTTAATTCCAATCTCCACCTCTAATGCAACCCACGGTGAGTGTAAAGACATCAAGACATGTTCCAAGTTAAGGGCAGCCAGAGGGTCCTAAGTCCAATCCCCGTGAGGATGTGTGGACAAAGGCCCTGATCCTAGGCCTCTACCAGGATTTATGATCCTGTGAAGAAGGGGGTGGCTGAGGATGAGTGACAGTGAGGATGGTGGGAATTCCATGAGTAACCTGAGCTGGGGAGCCAGGTGGGGAGAAGAGCATCTCTGCAAAATGCAGGGACAACCATCTGCAGAAGGATCAGTCTGCATAATTCAATTAGGGTAGCATTCGAGTTGTTTTCGGAGGCTGTTGCTTCGGTTTCTGATATGCAAACTTCTGTGCCCTGAGGACTCATAGCCTCCTTATGGTGAGGCCCCTACCTAGTTGGCATTCCTGGAGCTGACTGGCTCTGCCATCCCATTGGGCTCATATATTTTACGGAGAACGTAAAAAAAACAAGAGACTGTCTGATGGCTTCAGAGATTACATACCACTGCCTTGTCTACCCTTATTCACAATGCTTAGAGCCAATTAAAAATACCATAGTCAGCTCTATAAATCAGTATGAAGAAAGAAGGCTTGATGTAATCAAAGTTACAACAATTGCTCTGCATTCAGGAGAAGTCACTCAAATTGTTTCCCATGGGACCCACAAGGGCACCCCTCCCAGCTGTGGACCTCGTGCTCAGTGGAGGGGTGTGGCCAGAGGTCTGTCACAGGGACGGCTGGCACTGTCACACTGATTGCCAGAGGTCCATCTGCCCGGGGAGGGCTTGCCTGATAAGAGCTTCCAATGTTAATTATGGCCTCTGGATTAAAGCTGCCACACGTGCCACACTGCGGGTCTCAAAGATGGCTGTCCAGAGCACCCACACGTGCGCTGCCAACATGGAGGTGAGGTACCGTGAGCAGGCCGTGCCTGTCCTGCCTGACACTAAGCAGCTGTGGGCCAGGAATATTCCTGCAGGGACTCATGGGCGAGGAGTTGGTGGCAGCAAAGGAGTGACGGGCGACGGAACCAGGCTGCACTGTGTGCAGTCCTGGCCCCGGTCCATTCTCTCCCTGGGCAGCCAGCGAGCAGCATAGACGCCTCCCAGGTCCCATTCCAGGGTGGCCCGCACCCTCTTTTCAGGGTCTCGCACTGCTGCCATCCCACATTATTTGGGGATGTCCATGTCCTGCGTCTAGGACTTCATTATAAATGGAAAGTTCTTTTCCGCTTTAGCTGTGGCTCAAAATATCATCCTCAGCACCTGAGTCCTTGCCGACTCCTTTGCGTCTAGGGGCATTAATGCCTTGGAAGAGGCCAAATAACCGACGGTGGCAACCCGAGGCTCTCTGAGGTCTCCCAGAGATGAGCTGTTGACGGGAGGTGCTGAGAACAGGACGTGCCCCGTGCCCCATGCCTGTCCCCGCAGGGTCGCTCACTGCCTGGCATCAGTGCTTAGCTCCATTTGCTTCTCCTGATACCCAGCAGATCGTGGGGCTTTGCATCTTCTCCACTTTACTTTGCCGGAATTAATAAGCCATGAGCAAGGACATCACTTACCCTGCTCTTCTGTTAGGTCCCCTCCTGGGCGGGACAAAGAGGCTGCTGGGATTGTTTTGAAACTTGGCGTGAGTAAGCTTATGGTTCCAGGCTGGAGATAGTACAGATCGCTTTGTCCTTTGCTGTCTGCTTTTCAGATATTCAATTCATTAGCAACCTTGCTACATGAAAGAAGAAAGGGGTGAGAAAAGAGAACTGAAATAATTTTTTTTAAGAGCAAAGGCTCCGTGTGCAGCTGCTGAGAGTCTGAGACAGTGTTCCCCAGTTCCGCATCTCACGAAGCTAAATTTATCTACATACTGTCTGTTCCCCTTCATAACAGGTAACTGAAAGAGTTGCTGGCCCAGACTGGACACTTTAACCAGGAAAAAGCCGCAGCCGCTGCCTCCCCCGCCCCTATAGACTTGCCTGTAACCCTATACCCCCAGCCCTGTAACCCTGGCGCCAAAACATGTGCCAATGAAATACCTGTGCATCTCTAATGGCCTTAGGGCACTGCCCTAAGCTTAGGCTATTTATATTCCCCCACACCAAGTGTCTGAGAGAGAGATCGCCAGATTCCAGCGGCCAGTGTGCCAGTCTCCTCTCCCTGTGTTCCCGGAATAACCATGGCCCGGGTGCAGCGGAGATGCTGTGCCTCGGGGCCAACGGGGGGGGGGGTGTCTCTCCCCGCATTCCCGAAATAAAGCCACCGCCGCCCACTACTTTCACGGCCGTCCACTCCACTCCTTCCACGGACTTCTTCCTCTCCCTCTTCCCCTCCTCCTCTTCCCCCTCTTCTCAGACCTAACAGTAACTTTTGCCATTGTTCAAATATAAAAATTCTAAGGAAAAAAAAATGTTTTTGAGACAGAGACCCACTATGTAGCCCAGGCAGGCTTCATACTCACAGTGATCCTCCTGCATCGGCCTCCCAAGTGCTAGGATTACAGGTGTGCACCACCAGGCCTGGAAGGAAGATCATTTTTAACTAGCTCTTTTGTAACATGGGCCTTGTGTAATTCCGTCAGTGAGACTGCTTCCTATTAACTATCCAGCCAGTGAGTTTCTGATAAATACCACCATCTGCTGGAAATTAATACTAGTGTCTAAAAGATTAAAAATCGAAGTATACTTTATAAAAACTTACATTTACATTAACACAGCTGATTTGTGAGCCAGCCATCAAGGTGCACACCAGTAAGCCCAGCACTCTGGACACTGAGACAGGAGGATCACTGTGACTTGCTCAAGGGCAGCCTGAACTACATGGAGAAACTTTGTCTAAAAAAACAAAACAAAACTGGTTGGAGTTAAAACTGATTTTAATGGTAAAGATGAAATTGGAGCAAATTCTCTGTTTCTGTGTCCTAGACAACGTCACTGCTGGCCTGGCAGTAAACTGCTGGATTCTGAGAGCCTGGTTTGCCCAGCTTTTTCTAGATGTAGCCCAGAAAGTCCATGCCCCTGGAAATACCTCAGAACCATTCAAACCACAAGTTTTGCTTTTCCAAGCTGGAGGAGGGGGCAAAAGCAAGGATGACGGGTCCAAGGTGCCCCACATGACAGGCACCAAGCCTGGCCTCCCATCTCCTGCCACTGCCTCACCCCCAAACCGCAGATCTGCCATGGGGAGCCATGCAGCTTGCCCACGTCTGAGGGGCTTCAGTGGGAGGAATGTGTCATCCAGGCCAAGGCCAAAGGTTGCATTTCCCAGGGAGGGAACAGTTAACCGTGGAGCTGGGACTTCAGAACACATTCGGGCAGGTCCTGCTCCTCACTCCCCAGGTGTGGTGGCCTTAGTGTCAGTCAATCACAAGGCTAGACAGAACTACATTTCCTGGAGTTCCCCTGTCTAGGTGGCTCTGGCTAGGGTGGCCCAGGAAAGGCAATGCTCCGTCCAGGACCTCTGCATCTGTCAATACACCTCAGTCTAAAAAGTGGTTAAGGCTGTGACTTCCCACCAGGACAACTCAAGCACTGTTTGACGACCAGATTTAAGGTTTCTTCCTAACATAGATCCAGCAACGTATTTGGCTGCCATCTGATTTTGTCCCTAGGGACATACTATGGTTTGGACCTAAAGTGTCCCCAAGAGTCTCACGTGTTGAACGTGTACCCTGGTCAGAAGGCAAATGCTGGTCCCCAGCCCCCACTTCTTGCCTGGCTTCCTACCACCGTGACATGAGCAGGTTCCCTCTGCCAGGCCATTTCTGCCTTGGAGTCAGCTAACCATGAACTGAACCTTATCAAAAACATGAGCCAAACAGAGCTCTCCTCCTTTATGTGCAGATGCTGCATATTTTGTCCCAGTGCCAAGAAACCTGCTAACGCAGGACAGCACGATCAATCAGCCAGTGCCTAAGTCTCTGGGAGCCAAGAGGACTCGTTAGCGATGTGTACCCACGTCCTGTCTTGGTGGCTGAATACGGCCACTCTGGGATTCTGTCATCCCTACTCACATGAATGGTGACATCCCTTACTGTCACATGCAGCCTACCAAGGGGACAAGCCCAGAGCCCTTCATGGCCAAGTGTGCGTTAGTGAGGGAATGTAGCTGCTGGGTGATGAGTCTGTCCCATGACTCTGGCGTCGTCTCCTCTGTTAGCTGGCAGCCATATGAACGAGCGTGGCTCCATCCACTCTGTATTCTGACACCGTTAGGATGCCCACTCACACACGTTCCCCAGGTTTCTGAGAATTCTTTTGGCATATAAATGATTTTTTCCTGGGTCATGGAGTGTACCCGTCCTCCTGGGACTGTAGGAACGACACTAGTTAGGGTCCAGTGGCAAGGCGGGCTGGACGTGGAAGGCTCCAAGGAGAATGAGGAGCCCTGGGGAGCCCCTGGCCCAGATGGTACTATGGGACGTTTTTATGCTGAGTCTGGTCTTTGACAGAAGCTGCTCCTGTACAGGACAGGTAAGTTCAGGAACTGTGAACTCAACTGCTGCCTTAATCCAGCAACCACTTGCTGTGGGTGATACTCAGTATCAGTTTGAGAAGTCTGAAGGCTTAACTGACTCAGCAGCTCTGCATCCTGGGGTGTGGAGGACAAGCCCGTGGGGCTCAGGGATGTTGCTCACTGTGTCAACCTGAGAAGGTCAAAGTTTAAGTGACTCAGCAGGGGACCAAGGTCCATTCTTGGTGACACCCTTAGCCTATGAAAGAGGAGGAGGGCACAGGGATTTTGTGTTACTCAGAGGGAGTGACCTACATACAATAAAAGGCAAAACAAACAACAAAACCTGACTGCTGGTTGTTGGAAGGAGCTCCAGTCTTCACCTTCAGCATGGACGTCATCTCCTGGTTTGGCACAGACTGTTCCACTTCCGCCTGGGACTCTTCAGCCTTCTGTTGTAGACTTCAGTGTTCCACTGCAGGTCTGCTGGCCTCTGATGGGGACTTGCACAGGACACTGCAGGGAGCTCCACCCTTGGGCTGGACCCTCTGCCTCCAGCGTGCAGACGCCCTCTGCCTGCTCCCTCTTCTGACTCTGTGGTGACCACTGTGAGCCAGTCTTGTAACTTCTTATACATGGTACATCTCGTGTTACATCTGTCTCTCCAGCAAACCCTGGCTGATAGACCACTCTAAGTTTTGCATTTCATTTTCAGTAATAGGAGCCCTCTCGCTCCAAGAAGTAGCACATTCTTTTAGGACTCTCATGGAAACTCTGGCTCACTGTCATTTCCTTTCTGCAATCCTGAAAGGGGCCCAGAAAGTTCTCAAAGCACACTCTGTGTGGTCAAAGACCTCCAGCAGTTAAAGGCAGTGCCTGGTGGACTCTGGAAACACTTCACAGCAAGTAGCCCGCACGCACGGTGATGCCACAGGTCACCAGTTGCCCATTTCCCACTGGTGCGGAGCAGGGGGCCGGGATCAACAGATCCCATCTCTGCAGATCCATGTCCCAGGGCTGTTCCTAAGCCAGCCCCATACCAGTCACACTAGATACCAGACCCAGGTCCTGGCATGAACCCAGCAGGTCCAGCCTGACATGAAGACCTGGAACTGTAAGCCGGGATGGCCAGATGGGACCGGGAGCTCTTAAGAGGACCCCTAGGGCTCGAGTCAGAAGCAGTCCCTCTACTCTGGATGGGATTCAAAACTCTAAAGCAGTGTGCAGCCCCTGGGACGATGGAGTTTCTGGGGTGACCCAGGCCACGGCCTGTCCTCGGTCCCTCAGTTCCTTCTTGGAACAAGAGGCCACAGGCTGGCTGAGACCACTGTCAGGCCTGGCAAGCAAGAGGTATCCCCAGGAGCGCATCGGCAAGGCTGGTGCCTGCTTTGGGAAGCAAGGCTGTGGCCAGCCTGGGCGAGGGCTGACGGTTTCCAGGCCTAGTGGCTACGGAGTGTGACGAGGCCGTGTATCAGGGCAGTGGGGAATGGCCAATTGGGTGGCAGGGGCTGAGGGCTGCTGAGCACTGCATCTTCTAGGCACAGCAAGGACTGCTTCGCCACGGCGCTATGGCGGGAGTGGCCTCAGTGCCACCTCCCCGCACGCTGCAGGCTGGAGGGCCAGGTCTCCAGAGGGCCTCTGTCCTTGGCTTGCAATTGGCCTTCACAAACTGTTCCAGTGCCTGCACACGGTCCTCCCATGAGTGTGTGTGCACACACGTGTGTGTATCTCCTTTCCTTGTGGGGACACCAGTTGTATCAGTATAACGACCTCATTTAACATCTGGAAAGATGGTCTCCAAACACAGTCACATGAAGACAGACCTGGGGACAAAATTCAGCCCATCACGCTTGGGCAGGTTCACCGTGGATGTCCTGTGACAGCCACAGTAGGGGCAGGAAGCCTGTCCTGTGCTGTGTCACAAGCCCATCCTTCCTTTTACTGCCTTAACTTTGTGTCTCCCAAGCCACTTCAGATGACTTCTGGGCCCTGGGTCACCTCCACCTGTACACACGGCTGCACCAAGTCAAGCGGCCTCTGCTGACGATGCCCACTGTGGCTCAGAAGAAAGCCTGTGGGCCCAACTGCAGGGCGTGGAGTGGGTGGGGAAGGGCGGCTTGGCTCTTCCGCCTTCTTAGCATGGCTGGGAGTTTCCAGGCGGCCCCTCAGTGCTGTGTCTGCCTAACCCAGACAGCCACATGCTTGGACTCTCAATGAAGTTGTGTTTTGTTTCCCACCTTTCCTGTGACCGTAGTTGTATGCTATATACCTCAATGCTTTGTTTGGAGAAGGTCAGACCAGTTTCCCTGAAAGTTTATAATTCTTTCAGGTACAAATTAAAATCAGTAATGGTGTGCATGGCTGTGGACGGGGGTGACAGCACTGGAAATCCGGTTTTTCTGTTGCTTTTCCTATCTGCTTTATGAGGGTCCCCACTGCACCCTCACTGTTCCTCAGAAAATCACACGGTTCCTTGCAGCACAACGCAGAAACCCCTGTTGATCTTCACTGGAATTCGTCCATAGCACTCTTCCAAAAGTAGCCTCCTTCCCCAATACCCTTTTCCGTTACTAGCCTTTGTGTTCTCCGTAACCATTAGTCACTCATCTGTTACTGGAATGCAAGCTCAGCTGACCATGGTGGTGCATACCCGTAACCCCGGTTCTCTGGGAGGCTGAGGCAGGAGGATCACAAGTTCAAACCAAGCTTGGGCAAACAGCAAAGCCCTGTCTCAAAATTAAGAACAACAAAGGGCTGAGAAAGGCCCTGTGCTCCATTCCCAGCACACACACACACACACACACACACACACACACACACACACATGCACACACTCAGAGCAAGCTCTGGGGATGTAGGGATGAGTTCTGGCCTCTGAGGCGCCCTAGGAACTGGAGTAATGCGTGGCGCAGGCAGGCACTTGGCTCATGGTGGTGAAACGAATGGCTGAAAGTATCACAGAAGGAGTGGTTTTTCCACAACAGAAGTGCATGTGCGGAGAGGGAATTTTAGCCCCTGACTCAGGGTGGCAACAATACAACTGCATTCTGATATTCTTACCTGAACTTGGCGAAGATGATCTGCACATACTTTTCTAAAATTATGCTGCTTTTATATGCAATAAAATACAC